ATCTATCTGATGGAGAGAATCGCACGAGAAATCCGTGGAAAGCACAAGACCTTTATCTCGAAAGTCGTCCAACACCCAAGTATGGTCTGCGAGATCCAGATCAAGAAAGAGAACACCAAGACGAGAGCTGGTCAATACATCTTCTTCTGTTGCCCGGAAGTCTCCGTCTGGCAATACCACCCTTTTACGCTTACGTCAGCCCCTGAAGAGGATTACATATCTATCCACATGCGTATGGTAGGAGACTTCACCAAAGCCGTGGGCAAGACCCTGGGGTGTGAAATCGATAGACCGAAGCCAGGAGCAAAGGTCGATGCATCACAAGTTGTTTCTGTCAACAAGAACGGCCCCGGGTCAGAGAAAGCAGATCCCGCTATCCGAAGAGTTCTGCCTCGTATTTACATCGATGGACCATTCGGATCAGCATCAGAAGATGTCTTCAAGTATGAGATTGCCATCTTGGTCGGAGCCGGTATCGGTGTCACTCCATTCGCCTCTATCCTCAAGTCCATCTGGTACCGCATGAACTATCCCCAGAAGAAGACTCGTCTCCGTAAAGTCTACTTCTTTTGGGTTATTCGTGACTTTGGCTCTCTCGAATGGTTTCGCTCCCTGTTACTCGCCATCGAAGCACAGGATATGGACAATCACATCGAGATTCATACGTATCTGACAGCCAAGATCAATGTCGCTGATGCCACTAACATCATGATCAACGACGTCAACTCCGACCGCGACGCTATCTCAGGACTCAGAGCACCGACGAACTTCGGTCGTCCCAACTGGGACATGATCTTCAAGAGCGTCCGTAAGATTCATAGCCCGGCCGAGGCCGGTGTGTTCTTCTGCGGACCCAAGGTTTTGGGCTCTGTGCTGCATATTAAGTGTAATCTCTACAGCGAACCTGGTACATTCCCTTTCTCTCTTTTTCTCTTTAAGAATCATGAGCTAACGATAAACAGGCTTCAATTTCTGCTGGGGTAAAGAAAATTTCTAGACACACTTACCTATTTCTGTCATCTTTCGTTGGTAATTTCTGAGCGGCTGCAGTATATAGCTTCAACAAATGCGCAAAGCGCTGAAAAACAGCGACGTTTGTATCAACAGACGACCTACCATCTGTTGGTTTTGTGTGTACCTATCTAGACTTCTATTAGACTCTCTTTTTGCCCATTCATTGCTTGACCAAGTGCTCAGAATCCACACTGTTGGATGGCCAGTATAATTTCTGTTTCTCTGTCGACTTGAAAACTTAAATTTCCTTTCCCTCGTTCTGGCTAGAACCAGAAACGTCGGGGTTTCTGAGTGTTTTCGTTGCAATTGGCACCTCAGATCCTGCGGGTCGATCGAAGTAAGTGTGGCGGTCTCGTATCCGCATCTGCCGCCACGTCGCTGCCAACGCCAGCGCCAACGCCAAACGATGTGGGAACTTAGATCACCCGGTGCGCAAGTGAGGCTGAAGAAATGAGTTTTCTTTATCGTGAAACAAGCAGGCAGTCAAAAAATATAGGTTTTGTTTAGAGGGGCTTGTGGTTCTTTGTTGCACGTCTGAAGTTACAGCCACGTTGAGGCTTTTGAGTGGTGTGGCGAGAGGGAGGGAGTTTGGTACATACATTGTGGCCGTGGGTTTTGGAAGGTGATTTGTTTCTGCTGTATAGGGTGAGTTAAGCTATGAGATGTTGGTTTTGGAGAGGTGGAAGTGTTTGGGGAGGGGTGTGGGTTAGTGTCTTTGTATGTTAGGAGAATGAAGAGTAGTAAGGTCTTGTCGCTGATGAACGTTGATTTCTATGGGGTGAAGCGTCAGACTTGGAGTGATGCTATAAGGGATCCTCAAGTGGTGTTCCATTAGGCTTTGTTGAGAAGTGTCGATGAGTATGCTTGCTGTGAGCAGCCATTTACTTAGGTATTCCTGTCTCCTTTTGTACAGAAGTTGCGCTGCAGAGCATGGCACAACGCCCCAGTTCATGCAATTTGTCTGCTTAGTTCTATTACATACATATGACGATATTAGGTGTTCTCTAAATTACTATAGCCAGTCTCGCCGCCAGCCACTCACAAGTCACCCGCGTCTTTGTACAGATGCAACATCGCGACATGCACATCTACTTTCTCACGTGGAATACCAAGCGCACCTCTTTCAGTCTCATCTGCAAACAGTAGATGGCCCAGCTTCACAATAAGCGACCTGTTCGTGATGGGGATATCCGCACACCAGGATCCACACTCCAGCGACGGTGACGCAGTACTCGTCCTTTTACTCCATACCGAAATCGCTGCTTAGCTTCCACCGGCGGTGGCCTTAGCCTGCACGGCACAAAAGCTTCCGATGGGACCAGCATCACGAACACCTCCACCAGCCATGCATTTTGCTAGGGGTGAGTGAGCAGAAAATCGAAGAGGGAGGGGAAGGGGACGGGGAAGATGAACGTATGTCTGGGAGGAAGCCCGCCCGAGAGACGCTTAGAGTGAGGTGAGTGTCTGAAATCCGGGGTTAGAAATAAGTGAGTGAATATGAGATTCTGCGATTAGACAACTGCTTATATCAACCTCTGGAAATTTTTGCCAAAAACTGACAAGTACACACTGCGTAATTTCTCAGCGAGGTGGGGACTGGTTTTTTTTTTATGAATATTACCATGAAGCTAAAGTTGCTGAATTTTTCTTTACAATACACCACTGCACGTTGCTTTGCGGGTAATAGGTTCTCCTGTACCATATGTATATTAGGATGGAGACCATCCCGAGAACTATATTTCGATGTTTTCAGGTCTTGATGAGCTTCAAATAATGGATTCCACATAGATGCTTCATTCTGGAATCAACACTATGACTACGGCTCATCACACCCGTTTCAATGTCGACAAACATCTCTCGAGTACTGGTGCTGGCCAACGATAGCTCCCGGGAGACCAGATTTATCTTTAGATGCAATGGCAAAGAGTACAATGAGGGACAGAGTATATTGAAAACCGGTCAGTTCAGACATTAATACACCTGAGCTGAAAAGATACCCTGATTAAAAACCAAATGCAGCTTCTCCACCGACTCTTAAGCTAGATAGCCTCAGCGAAGGGCCACATGCCGTAATTTGGGTAGACCTTGGCGTGCCGCTCGTCTCTTTACCACTACTAAGTCTCACATTTCACTGGATTTAACCCGATATTCATCCCTCAGCTTCCGTAAGTGCAGATGCTCACGAAGACAACCTAGTAGAATGATATTCTGCCGAGCCGCCAGCGACTAGCGGAGCACACCACTAGTTGGTGGTTCTGTAGAAGCAACTGACGGATTTCAGAGATGTTAAAGAATTCGATTTTACGAAACCTTTGTCTTGACGAAGCGTATTCGCTGGGGCTTGGATGATTTTGCTAGGAAAGCTAGCTTGACGGACATGGTGGGAGCTAACTGGTTTACTGTAAAGTACTAGCAGAGGAAGAACGCCTGTGAGTGGACCTGGTGGTGTACAAAGTCAAACCACTTCCCAAGTTTGATTTTATTCGGTATGCCTAGCTACTGTGAGTTTAGCAATCCACTAGTGCTTTTTGGATGCTATAGTTATGGGGATAAACAGCATTGAGTACTTGTCTCTTGACAGTGACATTAAGCCCTTGGCGGAGATTCATGAAGTACGATTCAAGATGGTACAGAAGATGGAACGATATGCAGACTGGAAGAAGGTGGATGAACAGTCCCTGATGCTACCGATTGTAGCATTAGTCTCCATGGCAACTTACGCGAATGGTTATGTTCAATCCCGCTTATTCATTGATAGCCGTTGTCATCCTGCAATTGCGGGAACAGGTGGTGTTTGCACAATGGCTCTTAGTCGACTACCTGGCTCAGTGATCAACCGTCCTTCATTCACCCTGATTACTCCAAAGTGACACGCTCAACATCCAGGACTCAGCTGACCATCTTCCAATCACTGTAAAGCTGTTCGTGTCAACTGATATTCAGGGCCACTGGAGAGGCTCTGTAACTCCGGTCGGTCGCTGCATCAAGCAACGCAGCAAGCCATGATTTTGAGCAGCGAAAGATCGGATGTCCTGCCAGCGAGAAGCAGGCGGATATTCCATCATCTGAGCAAGTTCAAGTCACGAAGCGTCTTGTAGCTTTCGCCTAGAATATGCAATTATGTGACCTATCCTACGAAGCGGTCGAGCGTCCTCGAGAATGTGAGAGAGGCGATCCCAAACAATATCTACCTAGCGGATATTGTGGACGCTCAATTTTCTTGCTACTATCGAAATGCTGCCTCTTGGCTCTTTGGTTGTCAGCAGAATTGGGCTATCTATGGCCATATCCACAAGCCAGCCACTCATGCGCTTTGCAACAAGATTACTATTGAGGCCAAGAAGTTCCCACAAGTTTGAGGATGAAATGATGCAAGAGCACAATTTGCAGACACTGAAATAACAGGTCCTAGAGACACCTCGTCCTGCAGAAGAGTTTGCCCATAAGTTTGAGACTTTGGCTGCACCAGTTCTTGGACAAGCGAAGGCTGATGAAGAAGTAAAGTACTAACGGGTCCTTTTGGAAGTTCGTTGAGTTACTTCGTTGAAATCCTGGCTGTACTTTCTCCTTTGTACTTGCATATAATGAGCTAGGCATATCACATTCACAATAACACTATTGTCTAACAACCGCATCTCACTACTGATGAGAAAGTCAAGCACAAAGGTAAACATTTGGCCTGGTTGTCTGGTATCAAAAGCGTCTTGGATACTTGAAACGTGTTTAATGAATCTATATAAACAAGGAGGGAGTTGGTGGGCCCCATAAAAAGAAATCTCTGTCAAAAACTGCCCACCCAATTGCATTTCAACTGGTCCTCTAGTAGATTTCTGTAAAGTTCGGTTATTGATATTAAGCTCACCAACCAAACCTAATTGGCAAGTAAGCATTTATATTAAAAATTTCAAATTCGTGCTTCAAAAAAACTCATCTGTAGATGCCCGGTATGCATTTCCAACACAATTCGACTTCTCAAGCTAACTAGAGACAGGCTAGCTCAATCGGTAGAGCGTAAGACTCTTACAAAAGAAGTAATCTTAAGGCTGCGGGTTCGACCCCCGCGTTGGGCTCAATTCCTGACGCACAAGCATAGCTTGTTGCCTTGTATTTTGCCCAATCCTTTTTTTCTTCTTTTTTGGCATAGGTAAAAAGTCCGTAGTAGTTAGTTGGTGGGAGATGTCACCGGAGCGCTCTTGTCGAATGTGCCGAAGGGAGATGAAGGGAAGTACCTCATCATCTATAATACAGACAGCATTGTAGCAGTGATCCACACATACAGAACAGTAAGGAACTGCATGAGATATTGCTATTAATTCGACATCCGCTGTATCTTCCTCCCTTTATATTCGTAATCATGGTTGTGCAATGCCAAGAGTTAGTGAAAACTCTGGTTCCGAGGCGGAATTGTTCAAACTCCTGTATATGTCGCGTTGAAGCACTACCGTACGTTGAGCGTTTATCAAGCCGAGAACGACGTGGCAGATGCTGCTGAGCGGTGAAAAGGGTGTAGTTCGCTGGCGTAAAGGTGCAAAAATTTGTCGATGCGAAAGCTCCAAGCCCAGAAGCCCCCTACATACTGTCTGTAATCCCTCGGCAGAAGTAAATGGGCTCAGCTATCCTCCACAGTCTCGAAGAGACTGGCAGGCGTTTACAGCAGGCACCGACATGAAGCTGGGAGATCAATTTGCCAGCCAATAAGAAGTCGTACAATTGAGTATAGTCTCAAATGACTCCATAGCAAGAGCTTAACAATATACTCAAAGTAGTTCGCTCAGTATGTGCAGTCATCGCATACCACAGCGCATCAAACTCATTGGTAAGCTGTATGGGTTCAGAACAACTAGTATTTCTACCCATTCGCTGTACCATATCTCGTAAGTTCGGGCAGTATACGATGAGCACTCAAGTAACAACCACGTTGGAGGGCCATAGCTAGCAAGTGCCTGGCCCCAGCCTAGTTATATATCCTCCCACACTATTTTCTCTGATCTATCAGCTCGATATCTTGGTATGACTGTGGTCTCCTAGAACAACGATCAGTTGCTGATGTATCCGCCTCGCTGGTAACAGCAAACATACCTGCTGGCTCTAATAATTCTGGGTCATCAAATACACGCCATTATCAACCCCGTCGACATATAACGAGCACTTCGTAGCGTCTTCATCAACTGAACCATGTGCAGGAGGGGAAATCGGGGGCTGGTAGCGAGATAGAATGCTACGCAAGTCAGTATCATACCCCTGGCCAAAGCCAGAATACTAGTTACCCCTTTCACCAGCGACATCGATCGAGGTAGAGAAGAGATTAACAATCGGCACCAAATTCCCTCGAGTAGTCGTCGCTTGGATGGCCTTCCAGCCCGTAAATCTACTCAAGAGCTCGTCTGGCTTCCCCGTGTCCACGAAGCCTGCTATCAACACTATGAGTCGTTAGCGACATCTGCAGTCGTTGGGCTCACACATCTGGATATTTGTGGATGAACTTTATGTGTGGACTTGTCTTCGCCAGCTCTCCGAAAGCTAGTGTTGTTTGCGTGACACCGACGCTAGTAGCCTTTGTGGCATCAAAGTCATGCTTGTACTCGATATCATCGAGTAACAGAGCTTTTGCTTTACCACATGATAGAATAGCGATAACTCGTTCGTTCTGGCCTGTGATGAAGATATTTCAGTGATCTAAATCCACTCTCAAGGTGACTGGAAGACAACACGTACTCTTCTTGAGCAGAGGCAGCAGCTTGTTCACAAATCGGAGGCGAGAGTAGTATCGTAACACGCTATGCTCTCTCTCAGTATTCGCATATTGATTGACTTTGTGGATCTTGAACACTCACTGCGGAATATCGATTCCTTCGACGCTTTCTGTATGTTGACCATATTAATTATCCAGTCACGCCCAGAAAACTTGCCGGACATCAGAAGTTCATTTCCTGGTGAATGCCCAAAATTTATACTTCCAAAAACGAGCCAACTGGAGGACATAAATAGAACATCAAGATGGTCTTACTTTGCACGGGTACTATCGCAGACAGTATCTACGTTCTTGGACAAGCTGATCTCAGACTCGATGAAGTGGATTTTCGCGCCAAGATTCAATCCAGCGAGCTCTGCCAGGACTGAATGGAACTTCTATTGCGATCTGCCAAAAGCATAGACAACTGGCGTCGTGGTATGGATGATCTGAGATGTCTCATATCACTATTTGAATTTGATTGCTGATATTTGCATCACTTACAAACTACCTGAGAGTTTTGAGACCGATGCCAGAAGTTGCTCCTTCGAACAAAGCGACTGTTCCTGGGGCGCTTCCTGAAGCCCTAAGCGCTAAATTCGCAGCGCAAACGTCCTTCAACGAAACCATGTTTTTGACTAGGTATGTTCTATTTTTGGTAATGGAATTGACAGAATATGAATGAACGAACTTTCGAGCTTGTTGAAAGAAATTGACACTGAGAGGGGAAAGACCAATCCAAAGGTCATGCACCTAGCTGTCTTTGTATATATCAAGAAACAGGATATACCAAGGCAACCGCGCCAACCCGCCTGCACTTAAATGAGCACTGTAGCACTCAGCATGATCCAGCGATCAGAATTTCTTTACGCACGGGCCAGAACTTTATGAAAACACACCAAAAACACCCCAAAAATTCAAGTGTTTATCAGCTTATAACTCAACGAATTCACACTATAAAGACCCTGAAAACTCTGTATACCAACTTTAAAAATAATGAGACCAATGCACACAGAAATCATTCTCTGAAGGTGCTTTGTTCAGAAGATGTGTGAAGCTCTAGATTTACTAGTAACTTTTTGGCAAAATTAGAAACTAGAGATACCAAGCAGCTATAGTTATTTTTTGCAATTTGAAGAGTATAAATATGAGGCCTAGTACCCAAATACCTTGATAATAAGTTAAACAGAACTAAGGCTTTAAATTGATACTCTATAGCAGTGCAAAGTAGGGCATTTTTGCCGTGTTTTCATGGTGTATGATCACATTACAGAAATAACGTGCACGGGCCTCCAGCCGGCCTGTGCTACTTAATGTTACCAACAGAACGAAACCGTGGAATAATCGAGTCCGATTACAGCTTGACCTCGGAACAAGGTTCTTTTTGATAGGGATATTCGTCGATTATCCTGATGTACGAGGTCTACTTTGCCTACAGACCTCGGAAACCTCGGAGACCTCCAAAAATACAACCATTTCCAGCTTCTAGTAAGACCTCGCCATTGCAAGTCCTATCTACACCCTATCATTATATTACAAAGACCAACTATGTGTTATATTAAATAAAGTGGCTTTCAGAGCCCTGATAATCTCTTCTCTCGCTCGCTCCTAACCCGTTTGACGACCTTGACGATGTTGATGAGGTCCCTATGAACCCTGCTATAGCTTCTGAGCTTGAAGCCCTCGTGAACACAGCTCGAAATGAAGTCTTGGCCTATCACCTTCTGACCAGGCCTTTTAATAAAACTAAGAACTACGCTTCTAAGCAGAAGAAGTTGTCTAAGTGTTTCTTTTTTGTTCTGAACCAGCTTGACTAAGACGCTATTATCTAGGCATGGTGTAAGAAGTACGCTTAGCCTACAGGAGGCAAATATCTACCTGGAGACTAGACAGAGGAAGGAAAGCTCCTTCTGTTTATTAGAGAAGAGGTAGCTACGCGCCCGCCGCGGCAAGGATGACTGCTTGCCGATGAGAAGAAGCGGAAAGCCCAGGACCGAGCCCAGGGCCACGGGAAGAGGGAAAAGACGACCGGTTATGGAGAGGAGACAGTGCTTGAAGAAGAGCCTGTTGGCGATAGCGATAGAGATAATGAGAAATTAGATCTCTGCATAGTGTACAATTCCGTACGAGGCTACGTCTCTGCTATCAACGAGGTGTGGAAAATTCAGACTTCTCAGGGTCTTCACATCTCACCGATGCCTGTCAATGTTGCCCTAAATGCCCTTAAGACGTCTTTTGTTAGTCGAGAACATCACCGAGGTTGCGAGGAGTTTGTAGACGAGGAGAATCTACGATTCAGGACGGTTATACCATTTCCCAGATTCCCCAGATCCACGACAAGATCTGGGACCTTGAATTAGGCAGTGAGAAAGTCATAGAGCGGGGCTTTCAGACAAAGGTCGACTACCTTTTTGGTAATTCAATGCTCCTTCGAACAAGCAATCACCTTCCAATGGAATTCCCAGATCTTTTTTTGCTTAGATCTACCTTGGGAGGGTATCATGGCTTTACTTGATTGATTGATTGATTTTATCATACACGGATCCAGCCGTCTTTAAGACAGCTACGCCGGAATGGCTCAGCTTTGGCACCAGTTGCCGAAGTGCATCTGCCTCGGGAAATACACGACACTTCATCACACTCGTGTGACCGGCAACCTCCTCCACTGAGCCGTCTGGCTTCTATCTACGTATACATACATACACGCCGACAGAAGTGCTTTGTTTGTGGCATTAGTATCAGGCTCTGCAGAGACCAGCTTGTCCTCCTATATCTGCGCTCTCTGGATACTCGGTGGGCTACGGCCACAACGAAGCCATGTTGCAATCCGCTGGCCACAACAACTGTGATTCCACGATCCCCCTGATCCTCTCAGGGGAAAACCTTCCCAACAAAGTTCTCTCTTGCCCAATCTCTCACACTCCCAGACTTGTGTGTGTTTTGAATGTGAAAGGCCGTTCTGTAGGGTGGGTTACTTAGTCTGAGACCTTGGTGGTTCGATCGAGGATGTATTGAGGTAGGAAAACCCTGAGGAGTTGCTGCCGGCTTACACGAACGCTTCATTGCAGCCACCTCCTCCAATGCTGACCACCGCCCGTGGCCGCCCCCAGCACAATCCCATCTGCCACTATGACCGGAGCCGCGCGAGAGTTGTCGGGCCTTAAGGGCGTCGGGGATCGAGTGTGCGAGTCGTTCGTCCGCCATCCTACTAGCCACGCTTTTGACTTGAGCATGATGGGGTGGCAGCTGCAGGATTTGAACCTACCAGCACGAGCTGTCTTCCTCTTCTCTGGCCATAAGAAGAGTATACACAGCAAGTGCTCACCAGAGAGGCAGTAC